TCACCACCACCATAACACCATAGCACCCGACGATAAGGCGATAACACGATACTAGGCCCCACCAGACTAAGACGATAAGACGGCACGATTGCTTATTCGTCTTATCGTCTTATGGTCTTGTGTGGCCCTGCATCGTCCCATCGTCTGGTAGGTCTCCTATGTCGCTGTATCGCATTACAGTGTCATCGTATGCTGCCCCTGAAACGTCTTATCGTATTGTCGTCTTATCGTTGTTATCGTATTATGTTATCTTATCGCCTTATCATCTTATCGTCTGCGCGAGGTTTAGACCCCTGACCCCTACCACGTTGTATGTTTGTGTGTATGTCTGTCTGTCTGTCTGTCTGTCTGTCTGTCTGTCTGTCTGTCTGGCGTACGTATGTATGTATGCATATACGTATGTATGTATATATGTATGTATGCTTGCTTGCATGTCTGAAGGTATGTATGTATGCATGTATGTATGTATGTATGTATGTATGCATGCATGCATGTATGTATGTGTGTGTATGTATGTATGTATGTATGTATGTATGTGTGTATGTGTGTATGTGTGTATGTATGTATGTATGTATGTATGTATGGATGGATGGATGGATGGATGGATGGATGGATGGATGTATGTATGTATGTGTGTATGTATGTATGTTTGTATGTATGTGTGTACACGCATATATGTTCATACACATAAATGTGCATACTTGCATGTATGATTGTGCACATAAATGTATGTATTTATGTATGTATGTGTATGTGCACATAAAGCCCGCACACAATATATTGATATCGGGATTATATGTTGATGGTGGCAAGCGTTTTCATTATATTGAACACGTGAAGGACTTCCAGCAGCACGAGTTTGAGAGCGGCTGGAGAGCAATTGCGCCGTGATGCTACCGCTCCCAGGGATGAAGACGACGACGCCCCGCTTGTCCCTGCTTCTGTTGTGGGGCTGGCGTACTCTGGCGACTCCGGTTAAGCATGTAGCAGCGCTCTTTCTGACACGCCACAGAGGGCTCCCTTAGGGAGCCGTGCCCCTCTCGCTACTTGTTCTTGCTGTCCTGCTTAGTGGTGCGGGTGACGCGAAGCCAGCCTTAGCAGTCGGGCCGAGGGGTGCTACTAGTGCAGGGCGCTCTTCCTGTCACGTTCGGCCTTCGTTCAGGTGTAGCTTGGCCGCTTGGCCTCGTGTGCCTGTGAGGGGCCACCGCGCCTTGGCTTTCTGGGACGGGCCTCGCCTCGGCGCCCCGTCACACCCTCGGCTTGGCTTAGCGCGCTCGGCCACGGGATGCGCCCTGTCTCCTGGCCAGCTGGGCTGCTGGCCACCTCCCTTTGCGCGCTCTTTGGGCGAGGAAGGTTGGGATGCGCCGTGCGCCCCCCGCGCAGTCCGACGAGGCATCGTCGGGCTGTTTGTTTTTGCTTCGTTTCCCGGCCTGCAGGCCTCCGCTGTGGGACGCAGTGTGGCTCCGTGTGGTTTTATCGGGCCGCCGCCACGTCGGCTTCCAGAGCGCTCGGCCCACTGGGCTTGTTTCGGCCGCGTTGCAATATGCTTTTGCGGCCCGCTTTGCCCCAGGTGCCTGGGTCGGGTCTGCGGGTGGTCATCATGCAGCCACCTGGCGTGTGACGTGAGAACCACAGAACGGCCTCCAGCTCCAGTGGCTGGAGGTTAGTGGGATCCTCTACTGCGAGCGGCGCTCCTTGTGCCCCTGAGTGAGAATCCTCTTCCACCTCCCCTACCTATTTCTCCTCTTCCTCCTCTTCCTACTTACCAACCCACCTATCTACCTACCTACCTTTCTCCATTCATTTTCCATCTAAATCACTCCACCCAGTCACACCCCGACGGGGCACTTCCCCCAGTGGAAATGATTCTTGATAAAGGGGCCTATGAAGCGGGAACTTGGAGGTAGGGCTTAGACATCGTTGATGCATCTTGGGTTGACACTGGTCCTCCTTCTTCTCCTCCTCTTCCTGCTCGTTGACATTCGCCTCCCCCTTCCGTCGGCGCCACAGCCGGGCGAACGGCCATGAGAACCGGCTGGGAGGGTGCCCGGAAGAGGATGTCCAGGCATCTGTCTCGAGGGAAGTTCTTGCGTGTGGGGTGGCCCTGACGTTTGGGCGTTGTGAGAGAGCACGGCGGGCGTGGTCGCCCTGGCTGGTCTCGTGCTCCACTTCCGAGGCGGGGAGTGATCCATTACCGCCGCCTGGGGGATCGATTTTGGGGGACCTCGGCAGTAGGCGGATAAAGATAGATTCGGTCCTGGAGGGACGACGCACATAGTCACTACCTCGCCAGGCGGTGGTGGTGGATGAACCCCCTCCTCGCACTGTGGCCCCCGCGGGTCGGGAGATGCGGCTGATATTTCCAGTCGCGCTGCTTGTCTTTGCGACACATGATGTCAGAGTCGGTGTTACTGGTGATGCATGCTGGTGATGGTGATGGGTTCTGGTAGTGTTTTAAGTATGTTGTGATGGTTATCTCGCCACCATGTGAAGGTTATGAGCGACATGTTGTTCCTGGCCTCGGCTTTCCAATCTTCGACACGGTCGCCTTCAAGCTCGCAGTCGTCTTCATAAGCATCAGCACCAACGCCTCCCTCACCAACAGCATTTTAAGCAATGCCAGCTCATTACCATCACCATCGTCATCGCCGTCGCAGTCATCATTGTCATCCGTGTCCGCAGCAATTTGGTTCGTCAGATAGCCAGCACGCAGCGCCCAGCCTTTTTTTGAAGCGGGTGCTCGAGTTCAGCAGCATCGGTGCGACGGCAATGCCCACCGACAGCATAGCCGATGATCGGAAGTCCCTGAAGAAGAGGCACAGTTCAGTACACCTCAGGCACAAGCTGATGGTCGCTGGGCCTGCCGGGGTTTCACCCGATGTCATAACGATTGACGAGCAGGAGGAGGCGAGTAAGCCAGAAGGCAAGGAGTCCTACGAGCTTCTCAACGGCGCCGCCACTAGAGAAGCAGACGCAGGCGACTCACAGTTTTCCATCCTACGTGAAATGCTGTCTGGGTGGATCAACCTCCTCTTGATATTCGTTCCGATTGGGCAGATCTGCCGATACTTCAACTGCGATTCGATGGTTGTCTTCTGCACGAACTTCCTGGCCATCGTTCCGCTGGCAAGCCTGCTGGGAGGAGCTACTGAGGCCCTCTCCGCCCACGTGGGCCAGCTGCTGGGAGGCCTCCTGAACGCAACTTTCGGCAACGCGGTGGAGATGATCATGTGCATCCAGAGCGTCAGGGCGGGGCTCCTGGAGGTGGTGAAGGGGAACCTGCTGGGCTCCATCCTTTCCAACCTGCTGCTGGTGCTGGGCATGGCCCTCGTGGCCTCGGGGTTCAAGCGTAAGGCGGCGACCTTTAACGCACAGGGTGCCGCCGCCAACATGACGTGCCAGCTGGTGGCTTCCATCAGCGTGTGCCTGCCCACGATGTATGACACGGTGCACGGCGCGACAGGGGAGGAAGTATTGCAGATCTCGCGGATCTGCAGTGTGCTCCTAATGGGCCTCTACGGTCTCTTCATGTTCTTCATGTTGGGTACGCACTCCGACCTTTTCGTGGACGCGGGCGAGGAGGGGGAGACCGAGCGTGTCCTGAGCCCATTTTTCTCCATCGTGCTCCTTTTAGTCATCACCTTCATGGTGGAGAGAAGCTCTGATGCCCTGGTAGATGTCATCGAAGATGTGTCGGAATCCTATGGCATCTCCAAGGCTTTCATCGGCGTGATCTTACTGCCCATTGTTGGCAACGCAGCAGAGCACGCAACCGCCGTCACTTGCGCCTACAACGGCATGATCGACCTGGCGCTCGGAGTGGCGGTCGGGTCCTCGACGCAGATTGCCCTCTTCGTCGTGCCTGTTGCGGTGCTCTTCGGTTGGGTGTACGACAGGCCCATGGACCTGAACTTCTCCATCTTCGACACGGTGTGCCAGATGCTCACGGTGTTCCTGGTGTCCCAGATCCTGCAGCACGGCAGCACGAATTGGCTGCACGGGGCCATGCTCATGTCCGTGTACCTGTTCATAGCTTAGCTGCCCTGATATGCCTTTGTTGAAACACAACACGTACCGTGTTCAAAACGTCCGCGTCAACACGCTCCGTGTTGGCTCGACACGTGCTGAGCCACGCTTGGGCGAACGCATCGCGCCAAACGTACGTTTTCAATCTCCGTGTTGAGCTCCATGTCAACACGCTACGGGTTGCGTGTTGCGTCTCGGGGCAGCTGAGGTTCATTGCCATCGAGACCCTGTACATCTCGGATGCCCGCGAACCGCGCTCCACCACCGACCCTGGCCTGGCCCAGCCGGGGCCCGCGACCCGTGCACGGAGGCCTCGCGCCCCGGCCGGGAGGCGCTCTCGCCCTTCGCCGCCGTCGTCCTCGTGGTTCTCCTCGTTGTCTTCGTCGTCGTCGTGGTCCTAGTTGAACGCGTTTTTTAGGTCTGGGCCTCGCCCTGCCCCCCCGGCTCACATCACGCGAGGTTGCACACATTTGCAAAGGTTTTCTACGGATTCTTCACGGGTTTCCTAACATGTCTGGCAGCCCCCTGCCGTGAGGTGATCGTGGGGGACGAACTCCCCCCCCCCTCACCCGATCACGCCCGCTGTCGCGAATAAGCAGAAACCAGGCTCGTCGTCGTCGTCGTCGAAGGAGGATACGCTGGGGACGGGGCATAATCGCCCGCCGTCATTGTTCGCTTGCCGCGACGCCCGGGGTTCGGTGTGCGGGGCCGGTGGTGGCGGTATGCGGGTTCGGGCTTCCGAACGTCCCAGACCCCGTGCAGGCGTGAGGGCTGCGGGGAGACTTCGCTCTGGTTGTTGCCCCGCGGATGGGCGACCTTTCCGTCGATCGAGGGAGGTATCAACGTCATGCCAGTCGGACGACCCTATCCGCGCGTTGCCTTTGAAGGAGTACCAGCTTGCCGCAAGAACAGAAAATAGCGAAGTGGTTGCACGCGCAGTTGGGAAGACGACGCGCGTGTCGTTGATGCTCCGTTTATCGCTCCTGAGCGACCAGACGACGTTTGAGCGCCGTCTCGCCCTGGTTGTGGAGCATCACCGTCGGGTGCGCGCTCTGCCTTTCCCAGAAGTAGTTCACCTCCTCCTCCTCCCCTCCCTCCTCTTTCTCCTGTCTCCCCCCCCTCCCTCCTCATTTTCTTCTCTTCTCTGCCTGGTCCTCCTACTGCTGCTCCGAGTTACCTCCCACACGGAAGAGAAGCACGCGTTAGTGGTGCACAGGGCTGGGGCCGCGAGAGCAGCCAGCAAGGAGTCCGATCCGATAATGTTGCCTTTGGTTGGGCGCAGCCCAGTACCGCTTCACGCCGTGTCCGGTCACAAGTATTTGGGCCTCCAGCGGCCAGGCGACCTCGATCTCAATATAGTTTGCGGCTCGGTACTGCGTCCTCGCAACGTGCAGTCTTGGCAAGGCGTGTAGCCTCGCGGCTACTTCCTGTAGCCGCGGCGCTGGATTGTTCAATCACAGGTGGAGTCCTCCGTCAGGGTTTGGCGCTGGCAGTCGCGGAAGCAGCTCAAAGCGAGTTAGTCTGCGCGGGCGCTTGCTGTTTGGGACCGTCCGCCCTGGAGACCCGCTGCAGTGGTGCTCGCGGAGCTTGGCTGAATTATCTCAGGGCTTGGGCGGGCAGTGCTTGACGGTGCCGCCCGTCGGGCAGGCCTATGGATGCTCTCGGTTGGGGGGCCTGTGCCGTCGTGGGCGGGGAACATATCCATGTTCATGGCCTGACGAGCCCGGTCCCCAGGCCGCGACCCCAATGGACACGGGGCCTGTTCCCACGGAGGCCATGCGCGGCACGTATTTATGCGACCGTGTCTCCGAGGGATCGCACCCCAGAGTCCGGACCTCGAGGGCGTGGATCTCGTGTGGGTTATCTCTTCGCCGCCTGTGATGCGAAGCAGCCCTGCCACGGCCCCGCGTCCCAAGGCCGGACACCGACCCTCGGGCCTCCCTGGCCCGGGCCACAGTCGGTTGCACGCAGGAGTGACCCTTCGCCAGGCTGACCTTACGGTGCGCGGCTTTGGGCGTGCGGCTGGGGCCAAATCCGAGCGCGCAGGCCACTACTGCCGCACCAGACGCAACGATCCGTAAGCCGCGCATCAAGGTCACTCTTACCCAGGGTCACCCCTGCGTGTAGCCAGCACGTCAACTGGTCCCCGGTCCCCCCCGACCAGCCTGGGGAAACCAAAAGGTACTGATACCCCTGCTCCCAGGATCTCTCCGGGGGTGCGTTCTGACCAGAACTTCGAGGCGAATCCAGTGGTGGCGACGACGGCCTCCGAGGAGGCTTAAGAGGGTAGCGGTATGGCTATCTGACCCTCCTCTGACAGCTACCCGGAGCAGGCCTGTGCCGACGGGGGCGCAGGATCTGCACGGAGTTCACGTCGAGGCCCCGCCGCTTGGAGGGGTGCCGACAGGGACCTCCTGTGCGGGGCCTTGGTGCGCACCTCCGGCCGCTTCGATGTACCTCCTGCTGCCCAGTGCAGTCCCTGCCGATGTCTGAGGACTGCGGACCTACGGGCAGAGCTCTCGAGCCCTCCGCCGCCTCAAGCGGAGCGCGTCCAGAGCATGAGCACAGCAAAGTTACTGGAAGGCGTGGCATTGACCGTATAGCTCCGCACACGTTTGAAAAATGCTCTAGCGGGCAAGAGCACAGCAAAGCCCGAGGACAGCAAAGCACTGCAGTGTAGCTCAGCATCAGCACAGCCGGGAAGCCCCCGCGACATGTCCAGGAGCGTTGCTCCACGCCAGCGGGTGTGGCGTCGAGTGGCAAAACAGCCGAGCACTGGCCTTCTCTCTCTCTCTCTCTTTCTCTCTATTCCCCCTGGGCAGTCCACAGTGGCCGAAGGGCACTGGCCCCGCCCAGGGTGCCACCTTCTCTGCCCGCCTCGCGCATCGGGGGCGCGGCCTTGGGCTTCCGTGGAGGCTCGCGTCCTTTGCGGTACGCAGAGTGGCAGCCCCGCCTACCATGGCCTGTTCTGCTGCGTGGGGACCTCAGCCCAGCGGCAACCTGGGCGGGTGGCCAGTGGTGCTGATCTTCCAGAGTCCTGGGAGGCTTCTTCCTTCCTCATTCCTCCCCCGCCTCCTCTTCCTCCTCCCCCCGTTCCCCACGACATCGGCATTGCTTTTGTAGCTGCCTGCAGCGCTGGCGGGTCCTCCACAAGAGAAGTAGGACGGCCTTTGGTGCGCGTCGCGATGCGGAAGAGCGGAGGCTGGGGATGATGAGGATGAAAGAAAGTGGAGGTGAAGGGGAGGAAGAGCAGGGGGGATAAGTCGATGAGTAAGGCAAATGATACTGAGGAGGACAAGGATAGGACCGAGGAGGGGAAGGGAGAGAATAAGAGGAGCAGGATGAGGAGTAGAAGTTCAGGGAGGAAGAGGAGGAGGAGCAGGAGGAGGAGGAGGAGGAGGAGGTGGAGGGAAGAGGAGACGAAGTATGACGAGTTGGACCAGGAGGAACAGGCGAATTACAGTAGTAGTAGTAGTAGTAGTAGTAGTAGTAGTAGTAGTAGTAGTAGTAGTAGTAGTAGTAGTAGTAGTAGTAGTAGTAGTAGTAGTAGTAGTAGTAGTAGTAGTAGTAGTAGTAGTAGTAGTAGTAGTAGTAAGTAGTAGTAGTAGTAGTAGTAGTAGTAGTAGTAGTAGTAGTAGTAGTAGTAGTAGTAGTAGTAGTAGTAGTAGTAGTAGTAGTAGTAGTAACAACAACACTAGTAAGATAAGGTTCCCAAACAGTGCCTGCACTTCGGGGTTCTCACTTCTCTATGGGATTAAATGGGCCAGTCGACGTTTCGCCTCGTTGCCGCCGCGTTGCCGCCTCGTTGCCGCCAACTTAGGGAGGGGGGGCGTCGAGGTTTCGCCGCGTCGTCGCTTCGTTGCCGCCTCGTTGCCGCACACTTGGGGGTCCGTCGAGGTTTCGCCGCGTCGCCGCCTCGTTGCCGCACACTTGGGGGGGGGGGTCTATCAAGGTTACGAGGCCGCAGGGGCAGGCGGGGTGAAGCGAAAGGAGGAGATGCAGAATGAGGAGGAGGAGGAGGAGGAGGAGGAGGATTTGGAGCAGGAGGAGGAAGAGGAGGAGGAGGAGGAGCAAGTAGTAGGAGCACAGATCGTGATGAGAAGTATGTGGGGACACGTGTGATGATGATGATGATGATGATGCTGATGATGATGATGATGATGATGCTGATGAGGATGTTGTTGATGATGATGATTATGGTGATGGTGATGCTGATGCTGATGACGATGCTTATGATGATGATGCTGATGCTAACGACGACGATGACGATGCCGATGGTGGTGATGATGTTGCTGCTGATGATGGCGCTGTTGATGCTGTTGAGCCTGCTGATGATTAGGCTGATGGTGATGCTGCTGCTGATTATGCTGACGACGCTGACGATGGTGGTGATGGTGATGATGCTGATGCTGATGATGATGCTGACGATGATGATGATGATGATGATGATGATGATGATGATGATGATGATGATGATGCTGATGCTGATGCTGATGATGATGATGATGATGATGATGATGATGATGATGCGGATGATGGTGCTGATGATGATAACGAGGCGGACGGAGGAACAAGAAGTGAGTACGCCTTGGAAACACTAACGATGCTGACAACGCCCTCCAGTCCCGACTTCCTTCCCTTTCGTTCCTGTGGCAGTCATTCATACCGTAAACACGCTTACGTCGTCTCAAGCGATACTTTGGTTTCGAACAGAAGTTGCACTCCATCCGTGCAGATCCAAAGTGTTACAGCATTTAGTCGCGATGGTGTGGCGAGAGCTTCATTTTGATGACCAGTCACCCTCCATTTGTGTAGCCATTGGAAGGCTCAGGCTCTAGGATCGCAAGTGATGAAGGCCCCCGTGCCGCCCTACTGACACGCCTGGTGGTGCGAGGGGGAGGAGGCACTGATACGGAAGAGGGATACAGGAGATGGGAGGAGGATGAGGGCGAATAGGTGGGGAGGAGGAGCAGGACATGCTCGAAGCGGAGGAGGAGGAGGAGGAAGAGGAGGGAAGTCGGAGGGAGGAGGGTGGGGGAGGAGGAAGAAGGAGGGAGGATAAGGAGGAGAGACGGGGGAGGAGGGAGGAGGAGGAGGAGGAGGAGGTAGGAGGGGGATGAAGAGGAGTTATGTTCGCTACCCAGAAGCGAACTCATCGGGCAAGCAGCTGGCGAGAACACCTAAGACGATACAGATGAGCAGTTGAGGTGAATCGGACGGATGAGATGGACGAGGATGAGGAATCTGATGATGAGGAGGAGCAGGAAGAGGAAGAGGAGGGGGGGAATGCGTATGAACACGGGATGGGTGTGAGAGAGGAGCACGCGTGGTGATGCTGTTGTTGGGGATGACGAGGAGAAAGGATGCGCAGGAATTTACTACGCCAGGGAACCACTAAAGATGCTCGCAAACACCCTGCAGTCCCAACTCACTTTTCTGTGGCTGCAGCACTTACGTGCGCACACCTGAAACAAGCTCTACGGAGTCTCCAGCGGTATCATCGTTTTGGAACGACGGCGCATTATATCCGTACAGTCCCACAGTGTTACGGCATTGATTCACGAGGCTGGGGCGAGAGCCTCATTTTGATGACCATTCGCTTTCTATCTGTATAGCCAGTGTAAGGCACAGGCTCCAGGACCGCGAGTGATGAGGCCCCGTGCTGCCCTACCGACGTTCCTTGTGGCGCGAGGGGGGGAGGCGCTGCTACGGAAGAGGATGAGGGCGAATGGGGGCGGAGGAGGAAGATCCGGATATGCTCGATTCGGAGGAGTATCGGGTATCGCGCTATCCGACGTAGTCGATGGATGACGTGGCACCCCGCAAATGCGGATACGAGTGAGGGTGCGGTGGGGACGTCGGCAGTTTGCGAGCCTCTGGGGAAGCCCGCCGCAGGAGCCAGAGTTTAACAACTTATGTAACGAGCCCGCCGCAGGTACCGATTATTACGTTAAGCCAATGTGGATAGGTCGTGGGTGGGTCGCTGGTGGGTCGCAAATGGGTCGCGGGTGAGTCACACATGGGTCGCAGGGTGGGTCGCGGGTGGGTCGCAAGTGATCGTGGGTGGGTCGCGGGTGGGTCGCGGGTGGGTCGCGGATGGGTCGTTGGTGGTCGCGGGTGGGTCGCGGGTGGGTCGCGGGCGGGTCGCAGGTTGGTCGCGGGTGGGTCGCGGGTGGGTCGCGGATGGGTCGTTGGTGGGTCGCGGGTGGGTTGCGGGGTGGGTCGTGGGTGGGTCGCGGGTGGGTCGTTGTTGGGTCGCGGGTGGGTCGCGGGTTGGGTCGTGGGTGGGTCGCGGGTGGGTCGCGGGTGGGTCGCGGATTGGTCGTTGGTGGGTCGCGGGTGGGTCGCGGGGTTGGTCGTGGGTGGGTCGCGGGTGGGTCGCGGGTGGGTCGCGGGGTGGGTCGCGGGTGGGTAGCGGGTTGGGTCGCGGAGTGGGTCGCGGGTGGGTCGCGGGGTGGGTCGCGGGGTGGGTCGCGGGTGGGTCGCGGGAGGGACGGCGACAACAAGCAGCAACAATAACAATAGCAACAACAAGAATTTCAAGTTTGTTCGCTCTTATCTGCTCGCGTGGCATTCAATATGCATATCCCAAACCCTGGATACCCGCCCTCTTCGTCTTCGATCGTGCTCCCTTTGGGGGGTATATTCAGTCCTTGCTTGGTGAAGCCCTTGGGAACGAAGGGTAACAGATAACGGGGGAGAGAGGGGCCACGAAGGGCAGAGAGGGGGCCACGAAGGGCGACAGCGGGGCCATGAAGGGCATGCATATGGGGCCACGACGGGCGCGAACGAGCGGGGTCCACGAAGGGCATCCGTATATGGGGCCACAAAAGGCGACAGCGGGGCCACTGAGGGCAGCAAAGGGGCCACGAATGGCAGCTAGAGGGCCACGAAGGGCGACAGCGGGGCTACGAAGGGCATGCGTCTGGGGCCACGACGGACGACTGCGAGCGGGGGCCACGAAGGGCATATAATGCGGGGCCACAATGGGCAGCGACGGGGCCACTGAGGGCAGCAACGGGGCCACGAAGGGCAGCGAGCGAAGGCGACCGCGGAACCAGTACGGGCAGCGAGGGGCATCGAAGGCGGGCGCGAAGGGCAGCGAGCGGCGACTGCAGTTCCTAACGAGCTGGTCGGGCGGGCAGGCCCAGACGGGCGGGTCGAGCGGGCGGGTCGTTGAAGCGTAAATTCTGTTTGAACCGCCAGGCAATATGTCGCGGGAGCGCGATTCCTGAGTGTCGAGGAGCGGCATCTTAATACATTGTGAGGAAGTATCAGGCGGGAGCCGCGATTCGGTGGTAAGCTGCAAGGAAGTCCCAAGCTAGAGCGCGATTCTTCATTACTTGGTAAGAAAGTATCAAGCGGGAACCGCGATCCGGTGGTAAATTTCAAGAAAGTCCTACGCGAGAGCGCGATTCTTCCATACAATGTGAGGAAGGATCAGGCGGGAGCCGTTGTTGAACTCTCCCCCCCCACCGGTGCACATTGGTTTTTTTCGATCGAAGTGCCACCCCTGGGGCTCGCACTTTGTTTTTTCTCAAGGAAAGTCTTCCTGCTCAAACTGTGCCCCTGCCCCCCGGGCTACAACAACAACGGCTCCCGCCTGAGACTTCCTTGATTTTTACTCAGGACCCCCGCTCCCGCCTGAGATTTCCGCGCAATTTACTCAGGAAAGGCGCTCCCGTCTGAGACTCCCTCGCAATGTAATCAAGACCCCCGCTCCCGCCTGAGATTTCCGTGCAATTTACGTGGGAACGACGCTCCCGCCTGAGACTTCTTCGAATTTTACTCAGGACCTCCGCTCCTGCCTGACATTTCCGCGCAATTGGCTCAGGAACGGCGCTCCCGCCTGAGACTTCCTTGCAATTTAGTGAGGACCCCCGCTCCCGCCTGAGATTTCCGTGCGATTTGCTCAGGAACGGCGCTCCCGCTTGAGACTTCCTCGCAACTTAGTCAGGGC